CCCCCCAAAAAAAAAAAAAAAAAAAAAAAATGCTCGATAGTCCAAGTTTGGGTTGAGCTTCCTTCCTTCTCCAGGGCCCTGCATGGCCCTATCCTCTGCCAGGCGGCAGTGGCTCCGGAGAACAGACCGGCATCAGGATTACTGGATTCACTCTCCAGGGATACTGGCATTTTTTGGGGGGGAGGGGGGATGGAGTTTCGCTCTTGTTGCTCAGACTGGAATGCAATGGCAAAATCTCGGCTCACCACAACCTCTGCCAACCCGGTTCAAACGATTCTCCTGCTTCAGCCTCCTGAGTAGCTGGGATTACAGGCATGCGCCACCACGTCTGGCTAATTTTGTATTTTTCGTAGACATGTGGTTTCTCCACGTTGGTCAGGCTGGTCTCGAACTCCTGACCTCAGGTGATCCTCCCGACTGGGCCTCCCAAAGTGTGGGGATTACAGGCGTGGGCCACTGCCCCTGGCCAGATGCCGGCCTTTTATCCCACCTCCCCACAGCTGATTGATGATAGTCTTGTTCACTCCAATCCATAAAAGAACGACTTCAAGGCCAGATGCAATAGCCCGCGCCTGTAATTCCGTCACTTTATGAGGCCCTGGAGTTTGAGACCAGCCTGGGCAACATATTTTCCTCAACGAGAAAAAGAAAAAATTTGACGAGGTCTCACTACATTGCCAAGGCTGGTCTCCACTTTCTGGTCTCAAGTGATCCTCCTGCCTCGGCTTCCCAGAGTACTGGGATGACAGGTGTGAGCCACCACACCTGGCCGTTAAAAATTTTTTTAGAATTAGCTGGGTGCAGTGGTGCATGCCTATAGTCCTGGCTACTCAGGAAGCTGAGGAAGGAGGCTCTCTTGAGTCCTGACTAAAAGAGTGAGACCTGACTAAAAGAAGGAAAGAAAAGAAAAACTTTTGTTCTAGCCAACTCTTTTCTTTTTTTTTCTTGAGATGGAGTCTCACTCTGTTGCCCAGGCTGGAGTGCAGTGGTGCGATCTCGGCTCACTGCAACCTCTGCCTCCCGGGTTCAAGCGATTCTCCCTGCCTCAGCCTCCCACGTAGCTGGGATTACAGGCACACACCACCACGCCGGCTGATTTTTGTATTTTTTTTTTTTGAGACGGAGTTTCGCTCTTGTTACCCAGGCTGGAGTGCAATGGCGCGATCTCGGCTCACCGCAACCTCCGCCTCCTGGGTAGCTGATTTTTGTATTTTTTAGTAGAGACAGGGTTTCACCATGTTGGCCAGGCTTGTCTTGAACTCCAGACCTCAGGTGATCTGCTTGTCTCGGCCTCCCAAAGAGCTGGGATTCCAGGCGTGATCCATTGTGTCTGGCCTAGTCAGCTCTTCAGATGGCTGCATGCTTGATGGTTAGAGAGTTGTCCTGCCACAGCTGTCTCCCTGTGGCTACAGCATTAGTCCCCCAGCCCAATAACCAACTGTCCCCACACCCCTGTTGCTTATTCCCCCATCCCACTGCAATAGAACCCCAAACCTCTGGCATTCCTCCCCTGCCCCAACCCCTCGCCCTATTGCCACCATCCCTTCTCCCCCTCCCTCAAACCTTGCAATAATTTTTTTTTTTTTTTTTTTTGGAGACAGTCTCGCTCCATCGCACAGGCTGGAGTGCAGTGGCACAATCTTGGCTCACAGCAACCTCCACCTCCCGGGTTCAAGCGATTCTCCTGCCTCAGCCTCCTGAGTAGCTGGGGCTTTACAGGCATGCGCCACCACACCCGGCTAATGTTTTTATTTTTAGTACAGACAGAGTTTCACCATGTTGGTCAGGCTGGTCTTGAACTCCTGACCTTGTGACCTGCCTGCCTCCGCCTCCCAAAGTGCTGGGATGACAGGCATGAGCCACCACGCCCATCCTAATAATCCTTTTTTCATAAAAGTTTCCCTACTATGTTTGGGTTATTGTACAGTCTTGACCACGTGTTCACAGCATCCCGTTTCTTCCCCAAACGTTCTGTCCTCTCCACAGGCCCCTGAACTTTCAGTGGCCCCCTTAGTCTCATCAAGCAGTAAGCGTGGAGCCCCCGTCACCTCTCCTGAGCTAATTGATCACGAGGAGGTACATTTATTGTTAACCTCCCCCCGAACCCCTGCTTCTGTTTGTCCCCTAAAAAGTTCCTCCAAACCCCTTCTTGTGTATAAAAGTAAAGCCTTTTCCTGTTTGAGAGATGGCAGCTTTCTGAGGCTGGGGCTTATCCCTATTTTTCTCTCTCCTCTAGCCAGGATTTTATTTTTATTTGACAGGCTCCAGGGCAAAGCACCACCTCCTCCTTGGCAGACCTTCCCAAACTGACCGCCAAGCCCCTGACTGCCCCTGCCCTCTCCTCAAGCTTCCCCCGAGCCCCTGACGGCCCCTCCTGTCCCCCCACATTTCCCTCGAGCCCGACTCCCTTTACTGTCCCCCCTAAACTGCCCTCCAGCCTCTGACCGCCTCTACTGTTCCCCTAAAGAGCCCCTGAGCCCCTCACCGCTTCGGCTGTCCCCTCGAGCTGCCTCCAAACTCTGGAACGCCGCTAGTCCCCCTAAACTGCCTTCAAGCCCCTGATCACCTCTACTGTCCCCCAAAACTGCCCCTTCAAACCCATGACTGCCCCTACTGTCCCATCACAAAATGCTCCGGAGTTCCTGACCGCTGCTATTGGCCTCCCAAAACCTTCCCTTGAGCCTGACTCCCCTCTACTGAACCCCCAAACTGCCTCAGAGCCCGTGACCATGTCTGTTCCCGCAAACTGCCCCTCCCCTCCTCCACTGTTCCAAGCTGCCCTTGAGTCCGTGACCACCTCTACTGTCCCCCAAAGCTGCCCTCGCGCCCATGACAATCTACCGTCCACCTAAACGGCCCCAAGCCCCTGACCACCCCTACTGTCCCCACGAGCTCCCCCCAAACTCCTGACCTCTATTGTCCCCAGATATTAACCCCTGGAGCCCCTGACCGCCTCTACTGTCCCCCAAAGCTGCCCCCATCCCTACCGCTCGGCCGCTGTGACGTCGTCCCCGGGGCCCAGGCGCTCCTCCTGCGCCATCCCGCGCGTCCCGCAGCCTCCTCCCGCCACGAACTCGGGCGCTCAGCCTCCTCCGGCCGCCCCGCCCCGCCCCGAGCCCGTGCTCCGCTCGCGCCCCGCACTAACCATGTCCTGCCCGTTCCTGGGCTCACCGGGTGAGCACCCGCCGTCCCGCAGCCGGCGCACGTGAGCGCCACAGGGACACCTGAGCCGCTCAGGGTAGGACTGAAAGCGCGCAGGGCGAGGGGAACTGGGCGCACTGTCCCCGGGGCCTCATTGGACAGAGCTCGTGAAGTCGCGACTCTGATTGGACAATGCTGTCGACGTCAGCGCCCCTGATTGGAGAGTTCCCCAGTCGGTCCCCTTAGCGCCCTTGACTGCGCAGGTCACCACCTCAGCTTCACGTCTCTGATTGGACAAACCCCTGCGCCCCGCCTATGCCTGTCCTGATTGGATAGTTCTTTAGCCCCCGCGGGCCCCCCCCCCCCCCCCCCCCCCCCCCCCCCCCCCTGGGCGGGTTAGTCCTCCCCCCCCCGCGCCCCCCCCCCCCCGCCTCCCCGCCTCCTGATTGAAGAGCGCGTCGGGAACACGCGTGGCTGACCCTCCAGCCGGGAATGTGCGGATCTGGGCCAAGCCTCCTCAGTCCCGGGAGGGCCCCGGCCTCTCCTCGCAGCTCGGCCGCTCCTCCCGCGTCCTCCTTTCTGACTGCGCGGGAACTCCAGACTCAGTTTCCCCTCGGAGAGGCCCCGCTTGCGGGAAGGAGGGGAAGGGCGAGAAGTCCCGTGGGGCGCAGTCCAGCGTGGGGGCGGGACCATATCCGTGACGTCACCTCGCTGTCCCGCGTGGGCGCGGACACCTGGGGTCTAGAGACCTGGAGAGTAGGCGACCAGACCCCCCAGGAGTATGGACCCCATCAGGAATGTGCTGTGTTGTTTAAAACTCTTGGCCCGAGGCGGGTGGATCACGAGGTCATGAGATCGAGACCAGCCTGGCCAACATGGTGAAACCCTGTCTCTACTCAAAATACAAAAATTTGCTGGGCGTGGTGGTGCATGCCTGTACTTGGGAGGCTGAGCCAGGAGAATCGCTGGAACCCAGGAGGCGGAGGTTGCGGTGATCCGAGAATGCGCCATTGCACTCCAGCCTGGACAACAAGAGGGAAACTCCGTCTCAAAAAAACAAAAACAAAACAAAACAAAACCTCTCAGCCGGACGCCGTGGCTGACGCCTGTAATCCCAGCATTTTGGGAGGCTGAGGCGGGTGGATCACCAGAGGTCAGGAGTTCGAGACAAGCCTGGCCCACATGGTGAACCCCCGTCTCTACTCAAAATACAAAATTAGCTGGGCAGGCTGGCCAGCACCTGTGATCCCAGCTACTGGGGAGGCTGAGGCAGGAGAATCGCTTGAACCCAGGAGGTGGAGGTTGCAGTCAGCTGAGATCGCGCAACTGCACTCCAGCCTGGGTGACAGAGTGAGACTGTCTCAAAAAACAAAACTCTCAAGTGTACACTTGGCCGTGGGAAGAAAAAAAACAACCCTTTTAGGCCCGAGTTTGACTGTTTCTAGAGAATTTTTTTGTTTGCGATGGAGTCTCTCTGTCACCTAGTCTGGAGTGCAATGGCACAATCTCGGCTCATTGCAACCTCTGCCTCCCGGGTTCAAGACATTCTCCTGCCTCAGCCTCCTGAGCAGGTGGGATTACAGGCGCCCACCACCATGCCTGGCTAATTTTTGTGTTTTGAGTAGAGAGGAGGTTTCACCATGTTGGTCAGGCTGGTCTCGAACTCCTGACCTCAGGTGATCTGCCCACCTGGGCCTCCAGAAGTGCTGGGATTACAGGCGTGAGTCACCACGCCCGGCCCAGATAATTTTTTTTTTTTTTTTGAGACGGAGTTTCGCTCTTGTTACCCAGGCTGGAGTGCAATGGCGCGATCTCGGCTCACCGCAACCTCCGCCTCCTAGGTTCAGGCAATTCTCCCGCCTCAGCCTCCTGAGTAGCTGGGATTACAGGCACGCACCACCATGCCCAGCTAATTTTTTGTAGTTTTTAGTAGGGACGGGGTTTCACTATGTTGACCAGGATGGTCTCGATCTCTTGACCTCGTGATCCACCCACCTCGGCCTCCCAAAGTGCTGGGATTACAGGCGTGTGCCACCGCGCCCGGCCAGATAATTTTTTAAAGTAAAGGCTGTACTACTTACACGGCAATTTAATTCTTGTTTTAACTCATTTGAGAAAAGAATCATAGTAATTTAAATAACTTTGGACTGGACATGAAAACTCTGAATACTTTTATTGAGTTGAGCCACAATACCTACCTAAAGCCTTGAACACAACAGCTCATCTCAGAAAATACCTTCCAGCTTGACACAGAGTAGAAGTATAAACTCTGTATCGCTTCCCATTTTACTTAAGAACATAATTGTCTTTCTTTTTGCTTTGTTTTGAAGCGAAGTCTTGCTCTTTTCGCCCAGGCTGGAGTGCAATGGCGCAATCTCAGCTCACGGAAACCTCTGCCTCCCAGGTTGAAGCAATTCTCCTGCTTCAGCCTCCAGAGTAGGTGGGATTACAGGGTCCCACCCTACACCAGGCTATTTTTTGTTTTTTTGTTTGTTTGAGACAGAGTTTCACTGTGTCAACAGGCTGGAGTGCGGTGGCACAATCTCGGCTCACTGCAACCTCTGTCTCCCAGGTTCATGCAATTCTGCCTCAGCCTCCGGAGTAGCTGGGACTACAGGCGTGAGCCACTGCGCCCGGCCAATTTTTGTATTTTTAGTAGAGACTAGGTTTCGCCATGTTAGCCAGGCTGGTCTCGAACTCCTGACCTCATGATCTGCCTGCCTCGGCCTCCCATAGTGCTGGGATTACAGGTGTGAGCCACCGCGTCCAGCCCATAATTGTCGTAATTCATGTTTTTATTGTGTCAACCTAAATAACAGGCTAATAGAAAACGATGGTAACGCATTGCAGTGGGAATCTGCGCGCCATAGCAAACTATGTGCTCATTCAGGGAGGTAAAGGAAGACAAACGTTGCTTTTGGATTTTGGTTTTTTTGAGACAGGGTCTCTGTTGCCCAGGCTGGAGTGCAATGGTGAGATCACAGTTCACTGCAGCCTCGACACCTGGGGCTCAAGCGATCCTCCTGCCTCAGCCTCCAATTCGCTGGGACTGTAGTACACTACTATTCCCAGCTAATTTTTCTATTTTTTGTATATATGGGGTTTTACCATGTTGCCCAGGCTGGGACAAAGGTTTTCTTTGTTTTTGAGATAGTCTTGCTCTGTTGCCCAGGCTGGAGTGCAGTGGCACAACCTCGGCTCACTGCCTCCTCCACCTCCTGGGTTCAATGATTCCCCTGCCTCAGCCTTTTAAGCAGTTGAGAATACAGGTGACATCACCACCACACCCAGCTAGTTTTTCTATTTTTAGTAGAGACAGAGTTTTATCATATTGGCCAGGCTGGTCTCGAACTCCTGACCTCATGATTCACCCACCTTGGCCTCCCAAAGTGGTGGGATTACAGGCGTGAGCCACTGAGTCTGGCCAACAAAGGTTTTTAAAGGGGAAAAAAAGTGAGGATTACATAGTAGTTCAGAAATGATTATCCTTGTATACAAAGATCAGTAACAAGGCGCATACTGGTCTGAGTGTCTGTGTAAAAGTATCTTTGTGTTGGGCCGGGCGCGGTGGCTCAAGCCTGTAATCCCAGCACTTTGGGAGGCCGAGGTGGGTGGATCACGAGGTCAAGAGATTGAGACCATCCTGGTCAACATGGTGAAACTCCGCCTCTACTAAAACTACAAAAAATTAGCTGGGCATGGTGGTGCGTGCCTGTAATCCCAGCTACTCAGGAGGCTGAGGCAGGAGAATTGCCTGAACCCAGGAGGCGGAGGTTGCGGTGACCGGAGTTCCCGCCTTCCCCCCCCCGCCGGGGAAAAAAAGCGAAACCCTCTTTCTAAAAAAAAAAAAAAAAAAAAAGTATCTTTGTGTGTAAGCCTGTAATTTTTGTAGAGTCTTTTTCATTACTAAGAAAATAAATGTGAGAACCCTCTCTTCATGACCTTCCCTGGTTCTGTTTCTGGGAGGGTTTCTTAATATTAGTGGCTCCGTTATGATTGTGGCAATTTTCACAGTGCTTTGAACAAAAATTGTACATTTTAATAAAAACTAGGGTTTAGGGGAACAAAACCTTTTTTTTTTTTTTTTTGAGACAAAGTCTCAATCTCTCGCCCAGGCTGGAGCGCAGTGGCACGATCTTGGCTTACTGCAACCTCTGCCTCCCAGGTTCAGGCAATTCTCCTGCCTCTTGCCTCCTGAGTAGCTGGGATTACAGGTGTGTGCCACCATGCCCAGCTAATTTTTGTATTTTTAGTAGAGATGGGGTTTCACCATGTTGGTCAGGCTGGTCTCGAACTCCTCACCTCATGATCTGCCTGCCTCAGCCTCCCAAAGTGCTGGGATTACAGGCTTGAGCCACCATGCCCAGCGGGAACAAATCTTAAAATAGCTTTATATATTTAAAAAGTGACTTCCTGGCCAGGTGCTATGGCTCACACCTGTAATCCCAGCACTTTGGGAGGCCGAGGCAGGTGGGTCACCTGAGGTCAGGAGTTCGAGACCAACCTAGTCAACATGGCAAAACCCTGTCTCTACTAAAAATACAAAAAATTAGCTGGGCGTGTTGGCGGGAGACTGTAATCCCAGCTACTTGGGAGGGTGAGGCAGGACAACCGCTTAAACCCAGAAGGCCAAGGTTGGAGTGAGCCAAGATAGTGCCACTGCACTCCAGCCTAGGTGTTAAGAGCAAAACTCTTAAAGAAGGAAAGAAAGAGAGAAAGAAAGAGAAAGAGAGAAAGATATGCGTACTATCAGAGTCCCCAAAAAAGTAAAGAATAGCACAACTTTTCACGTTAAATCATTAAGAAACACGTAAATACTAGGCCGGGCCTGGTGGCTCACACCTGTAATCCCAGCACTTCCGGAGGCCGAGGTGGGAGGATCGCTTGAGCCCAGAAATTCGAGACCAGCCTGGGCAACACAGTGAGATTTCTTCTCTAAAAAAATAAATAAATAAAAATAAAAAATAAACACATAAATACTATAATAAATGTAGGCACTGACCTTGCAGAAGATGCAAAGGTGGCTTCTGGAATTTGGCAAGGGAATCTAAATTTCTCCAGAGTTCGTATGCAGTGGTGGAGAGAGGGTCGTCAGAAATCTAACGGAAAGTTTAGGGCAGAGGAGACAGGTGTGGCGTGGTATTTGAGGTGTGTGTGCACATTTCCTGTTTCCCTACCAGGCTCTTTTCAGTTGTGTGTAATTTCCTTCGCTCATCTAGTGTTTCTTGGGGATGAAACTGAACATAAACAAATATGAAGTTTGTTATATTCACATTACCCAACGTATCAGGTGAAGATAAAGAGCCCGTGTTTCCAAATCAATTGTTCTAGCCAA